TTTCTTCAAAAAAATTGTCTACTGCATTTTCTTACTGTTGAGAATTGTCTTCTGCCATGCTTTCTGAGCCACCAAATCGCTACCCTTCCTACATAGCCGTTGCCTCCATATTCTTAACTCAATGTTTGAATATTTTTACAACACATATTCAGTTTGAAAGATAATACTGATAACTTGTTTTATATGAACATTTATACACCAGGACCCCGTGAGGCACTGACTTCATTGGGATACTTTATGGCTTAATACATCTGAATGATTTATATCTCGTTTTGTCTAAGCATTTATGCTAATAAATTTAACAGATTTCCCCAGCACTGCCTGGTCCTTCGTTTTCTTCAGAGGGTCAAAGTGAGAGGAAAATAAAGCAGTGTGTTACTAAAGAAAGAAGGAAGAATTTGGCCTAACCGATTTAGAACACAAATAAAATTATAACACAAATAAAATCCCTGATTACAGTTAAGCTGGAGCAACAGTGAAAAAGAAGTTCCTAGATCCAGATAGATTTCTGTAATTAAGCTGTTTCTCAAAAGCAGAATAGCAAAATGACAGAATATTTAGCAAGCTAATTTACTAAGGAATATTTTGGTCCCATATAATTAAATCCAACCCTTAAGAAAAAAGAAAAAAACTGACAACTGTTAAACTGAGTGCAGTCGGGAGAGGGAAAGGGATAAGATAAAATCCAGTCTATAAAATATAGTCCATTATCTTTTATAGGTTAAAAAAACACTAAAGAATACTTGGAAAGAATCTTCTGAGATGGAAAGATTTTAAGATTGTGTGGGGATTTTTTTTTTTTACAGGTGCAGAATATAAGTTGGGTTTTTTTTCCCTTTTTTTTTTTTTTCTTTTTCCCATTTTTCCCCCTGTTGTTTGCAAAGTTGAATCCGGGGTCAGGAGTTCTAATTGTAACCTCAGACTGGAATTCCAGATGGTGCGCTTAGGACTGGGAGCAACTCTCAGTTCATCAATTTCATGGGCCTACGTATCTGCTCTGGCCACGGCCCGGCCTCCATCCCCACTGTGGCATTAATGCAGAACAAATTGAGACATATCCTCTATATAATTAGTTCCAGAATTTAAAAAGATTTACGGTATAATAATAGAGGCAGCGCTGCGGAATCCTTTCAACGGGGACTCTCTGGGAGCTTGGGGACCAACTCGCGGTGGCATCAGAATAGACGGGTAACTCTGGCCCTTCCAAGAACTGCAAGCTGCGGGAGAGGGGAAAATTTTGCAGCGCCTAGGCGGCGGCGCTCACCGGTCCTGAACCCCCAAACTGGGTCAGAGAACGGAGTTTGTACTGTAGACGAAAGGTTGTTAAAAAAAATCGAGTTATTTTTCAAATGAGCAGAGAAAGCCAGGGTGGGGGGACAAAGGCGAGGGGTACTCTCTAACAAAAGTCCCTCGCTTACTTTTTTTTTTTTTTTTTAATTTAAAGAAATGAAGCTGGGGTTTCTACTGCAAGCACGGGGCTGGAAGCCTGCTAAGCGCCTACGGAGATGCCGGGGGTAAGCAGATCCCCGAGAGTTGGAGTGGGCAGGGAGGGGAGGAGTAGCTGTTGGGCTGCTTGCTGGTCCTGCGCGTGGCGCTCGGGGCTTAGCCCCTGCCCGAGGTGCTCATGGAGCGCCAGTTCCTCCTGGGCGGCTGGTGGTGCAGCCACTCCTCTTCTGCGTCTCCGGCCCCAGCCTTTGACAGATCGCAGTGCTTTGAGTGTTTATTCAGTTGTCGGCGGCCGCGGGGTGACGCCCGGAGCGCAGCCTGGGAGTACGCGCCGCTCCCTGGGGCCGCGGCTGCAAGGCCGGCTCCGCTCTTGGTTAGATGCAGTTGACAGCCCCGGGGTCAAAGGGGCGGAGGAGGGGGGCGGTTAGAGGTCCTCGGGACCCTCTACCACTCAGCGGTGATTTTTGATCTCCCAATAATTAAGCACCTTCCAGGCCAGGATGACTTTTACCAATGTATCGGAGCCACATGGGTTTTCAGTGTCCCTCTCTCCCTCCCTTCTTTACAGCCCATTCCATTAGCTCTACAGAGGCAGAAAAGGAGGGGGATAAAGGCCTGACTGAGCTAGACGTCGTCGAGAGATGTGGGTTCCAGCTCGGCTTGGGCACTATTTTGCCATGTATCCTTAGTAATAGTGACAACGATTGTAACGTTTATCGAACGCGTGAAACCAACACTATTCTCTGGTCGAATCCCCACGACTCCACGAAGTGGACGCTAGTATTGCACTATCCCATCTCATCAATAAGGAAACTGAGGCTCAGAAAGGCTATGGAAGTCCACTAGGGTTACACAGCTGTTACCCGGCGGACCTGAGATTCCACTCTCTGACTACCAATTCCATCCTCTTAACCACCGCGCTCTACAGCTGCCTTTCCTCTCTCTGCCTGGGCCTCAGTTTCCTTCTCTGCAGACGGGGAGTTGTATTTCCATTCCTGCCAAATGGTGATTCAGGCAAATCCTCTGTGCTGTAAGTCTCAGCGCTGACGGGAGTGGAAAGGTGGATCAGAGAAGGGAGCGGCCAGGTCTCCGCCGCGCTCATTTCCTTGGGCCTCGAGCTACGGAGGTGCCGGAGAGCGCTCACCTGCCGAGGCGGGCAGAGTTCCTCCCGGCCAGATACTCTGTCCCTCCGCCTGGCGGGCTCAGGGGGCCGAGGCCAGCTTAGCGGGCGCGTCTGCCTGGATAACCGCCGAGCTCCCGCAGAATAGGTTATTCAAGGGGAAAAGGGGGACCTCAGTGTGCGGGTTTCCCAGCGTTGGGCCTGGGGCTCCTGGGCTTCCGGGGATGCGGATGGGTGGGGGCGTTCGGAGACCTCCTCTCCCGCGAGGCCCTCCGACTTCGAGCGGTGGCGGACGCGCAGCACTTACTTCCCGGACCTGCGGGTTGCAGGGAACTCCTCCCACCGTTTCGGACTACCGTGCGGGAGCGAGGAGGCAAGCCAGGATTGAAGCGGGGATCACACTACCGCTCTACCTCCCTCTGGGATTCTCAGGCAACAAATGGCGGAGGGAAGAAAAGTCCTGAATTTTCTCGGCCCCCCGTTCTTCTCACTCCACCCCACCCCGCCCCTGAACAAAAACTTTTTTAAAAACGTAAAGGCGCAAAATTAAGCACCTCTGCCCTATCTGGGATTCAAAACCACAAAAGCTCACGTTCAAGTCACCTCCCCCCCAAAGACCCCCAAAACTTTGCAGAAGAGTATAAAAAAGAAACAATCTCGACCTTTTCGTTGGCAAATAAAAATCCCTGACTTTTCGTAAAGGTCTCTCCTTCCCTCGTGGCGCTTGAGTGATTCCTAGTTAAAAACTCCTTCGACGTTGAAATAAAAGTGGTGGGTGTGAGACAGGGGTCTGCGGAGTTCTAGGGGCAACTTGGCCTGAGAAGTTTCATCTGCTGGGGCCTTTCTGCACCAAAGGGACCACAGGCTCATGCCCTCTGCCCAGCTCTCCAGCCCCGCTGCAGGTTTCCAGACTGCACTTGCGAAAGCGTAGTGGGCAGCTCACAGAGTGTCGGGGGAGAAGGAGCTGGCCTTCAGAACCTTTTCAGTTCTTTAAAGAAAAGGTAAAGCTTCTGAGTGGAGACAAGCACAGTCATGCACCAAAGTAGCGCAGAGAGGGGCAGGACCTCTAGATGGCCGGGGGAACCAGCGGGTAGCGCGCGTTCCCGACCTTTGCCCTCACCGTCTCCTGCGCCTTTAGGACGAGCGACCCCAAGAGGAGGGAATTTTGTTTGGTGTGTAGGCTCTGAGCCTCGGGTTCGCAGCCAGAACTCAGGTCTACTTCATTTACTCAGCGCAAGTTCAAGTTATCTAAAACCAAAGCGCAAGAAAATGAAGAGCATGCCACGGCTTTTAAAACGTTCCGTTTCTTTGTAAAACTGCAACTACCATGGTTGTTGCTTCGCTAGGGCTTGGTGGAGAGGTGCGCGCCCTTCCGCGGCCAGCCTGGAGGAAGAGGCCTGGCGGCCACCGGCTTCTACCCGCCCGCGCTCCTGGCGGTTCCAGGCTGCGCCGTCGCCGCTGCCTCCTGGGCGTTTCCACGAGCCCCGAAACGCACTCCTACCCGGGTTCCCAGCGCTTCTCCTTGCCTAGGATCCGCAACCCCTTAAATCCTGACTACTGTGGAAGAGCCAAAAACCGAAACAAAACCTCAAACACCCGCCCTGAGGCGTGCGGGGCTCCCACAGAGTGAAGAGAGGAGTCTGATGTGGCGAAGTTCAGCGCTCGGAACTCCCAACGGTGAGAACACTGCCCTGGACCGTGGGCCACTAAGGGCTTTCCCTCGTGGTCCTCCTAACTGGTTTGCGTCCCCTCATCAGTCACTGCTTATCCAGAATGGTATCCTCCATCGTGAGCGGAGGCCGAGGGCGGCGGGACTGGCTGCAGGAGACAACCTTTCCCGGGGGGACTTGGACTTGGAATCCGACCCACCTCTCAGCCTCCATACTGGGCTCCAGGATTCTCCGATCAGAATGCGTGCAAGCTCTGGGTGTTCCCCTAAAGGCTTTCCCGGCTTCACCGAATTAGAGTTAAATATCCCTCACTAGGAAAGGAGATTAAGTACCGCTGACACCAGTTTTTAGGCAGGCGACAACTGCCTTCGTCTGGGCACAAACCTCATCCAGTAACCAACTACCAGACGATCGAAATATGCCTTTTATCACAGCTGAAGCACCGCGCCCCCCAGGTCACCCACGTTCACCTTGCGCGTGGCCTCTGGAACCCATAAAGTGTGACACCCACCCCAAGTGAACCTGAGATTACGGCCACCACTCCTGCCCGGCGGCACAAGAAGCAGGAGCTGGACTTTCGGGCTCTGAGTAAAGGAATTGGCCTCTCTGAAGCTCCGGAAAGTTTTCAGTGCTTTCCTGAAGTTCCCGCCCTCGAGGAGCTCACCTGCCCCTCCCTTGAACCCGCCCTCTCAGATTAACACCCCCCCGCCCGCCACCTCCACCACCACACACACGGGGATACCGTGGGGACATTCGCTGCTCACCTGGAGAGACTCGCCAGTGCCCCGAGACTCCCACACTTGCAAAGGCCGAGAAGGGGAGGTGGGGGTAGGCTGCGTCCCGTAGGCGGGCTGAGAGCGCGTGGCTGGTAGGAGAGGAGGGTGTCTCCCAGAGGTACGCTCTCTCAAGCCCGCCCCCCACCCCCGCGGCGAGGGCGCCCCCACCTAGCCGCGCGCGCTGCTTGGCCGGGTTTAGGCAGCGGTGTGAATGGAGCGGCCGAGGCTCCTGGCTCCTCCTCCTCCCCCGCCGCCAGCCCCTCTTATTTGAGCTTTGGGAAGCTGGGGGCAGCCAGGCAGCTGGGGTAAGGAGTTCAAGGCAGCGCCCACACCCGGGGGTTCTCCGCAACCCGGTCGTCTGTGCGCTCCCCCCTTCCCACCCGCCCTCCCACTCACTCATTCACTCACCCACCCACCCACCCAGAGACGGGACCGCAGCCCAGGAGCCGGGGCGCCGCCGCCTCCTTGCCGCGATCCTGGACTTCCTCCTGCCGCAGGAGCCAGCTTCCACGTGTGCCCCGGAGCCGGCGTCTTCACACTCGCTCCGCTCCGGGTCTGGGTGCCTTCAGCACCCCGAGCAGCCGGGGCTCCGGGGCCCAGGCGGCCTCTGGGCCAAGTTAGGTGCGGCCGAGTACAGCGCCGAGCGTCTGCAAGGCCGAAGGAGCCGCGGGGCATCCGGGGCTGAGCCGCAGCAAATGGGCTCTGACGTGCGGGACCTGAATGCGCTGCTGCCGGCGGTACCCTCGCTGGGTGGAGGCGGTGGCTGCGCCCTGCCCGTGAGCGGCGCCGCGCAGTGGGCGCCGGTGCTGGATTTTGCACCCCCGGGCGCCTCGGCTTACGGTTCGCTGGGCGGTCCTGCGCCGCCGCCGGCCCCGCCGCCACCCCCGCCGCCGCCGCCGCCTCACTCCTTCATTAAACAGGAGCCGAGCTGGGGCGGCGCGGAGCCGCACGAGGAGCAGTGCTTGAGCGCCTTCACCGTGCATTTCTCCGGCCAGTTCACCGGCACAGCTGGAGCCTGTCGCTACGGTCCCTTCGGTCCTCCTCCGCCCAGCCAGGCGTCCTCCGGTCAGGCCAGGATGTTCCCCAACGCGCCCTACCTGCCCAGCTGCCTCGAGAGCCAGCCCGCTATCCGCAACCAGGGTAAGCGGGCCGGGGGAGCGCCCTCTACACGCGGGGTGGCGCCGGCGCTGTCGCCGCGCTCTAGCATTCCCCGGTCCTATCCCTTCCCTGACCCCGGCTCTTAACCGGCTGCCCCCCCCACCCCCACCCCAGACCGTGAGGGTAGCGGAAGCAGCGGCTTGGGGAGAGGAGGCCGGGGAGAGGGAGTACGTGCCGGCGGAGGCCCCTGACATCCTGCAGGGCCGGGAGCCCGACTGGTTCGCATGAGCCGGGAGGTCATCTGGGGCCCCTCGGACCCCAGGAGATTCCAGGACTGCTGGACTCCGAGGGAGTCGGAAGGGGGAACCGGTGCAGTGTCTGGCTCTGTCTCAGGAAGGTGCTCTGTGGCTCAAGGCACCACGGGACTGTTACTAGGCACTGGAACTTTGTAGATTTCAGACTGAGCAGCCCGTGTTCCTACCCCGCACGGAAATGTCAGGGGCCGTTCCAGCCTTCACGTTAGACGTACGATAAGTATCACGGAACAAGGAACGAGGACATGCACGCGCTATCAGCTAAACAGTGGCTTTCCTGGAACCATGGCCGTGTTCGCGTCTGGTAGTATTAAAAGCGGATGTCTCCTGGGTTCCAGCTCAGGCAGCGTCCGTGAGAGCTCCAGGGCTAGAAGAGAACTCTGTTTATTCTGTTCCAAGCTGTGTGGGACCGGGTCCTGCGAGAGGCGGTGGAACGAGGCCCAAGCGTGGGTCTTCCTTTCAGCGCGCCTTGGTGCCTTTTTGTCGTTAAACTCGGAGCTCAGCTGATTTTTGCAAGACAGGGGGGTCAGAACAAGAACGGTTTATTTGCCGACTTCAGTGTACATCGAGGGACTCAGCCAGTAGTGTCCCCATCCCGCCCTGGCTCTCGCACACCTACTTAACGTTTCTCAGGAACTAGCGCAGTGTCAATCAGGCTGGGCCCTTGTAGTTTGTTTTCCAATTTGATACTAATTGGACTTCTGTGCTCTTTGAGAGTTCATTCCGTATTTTAGGAAATGTCTTACAAAGGCCATGGCGGATGCTTTTGCTGGAGCAAAATTTCCCCCGGACCTAAGGGACTAGGATGTTTTTAGGATGCGTGGGCCGGGAGAACAGAGCATGTACCGTTTGCGGGAGGTGCCAGGGCTCCCCAAGCGCAGAAGGGCTCAGGGCTTCTGGTACATGGTCAGTGCCAACACCTTCTAAATGAGTATCTTCAGGTGGTTCCTAGCTAAACCCAGCCTGCAGCACCTGGCTCACCAGAAGCCCCAGTGAAATCGAAACCACTCTCCCCTCTTCCTTTAGGGGACTCGAGGTCCGTGGTCTGTGGAGGAACCTCAAGCAGCACCCGGGGGGCCTCCATTCTGGGTGTTTGCTACATGGAAGTTAGTGTTTCCCACTCAAGGGATGTTGGAATAACTCAGTGTCGATTCAGAGCCTTGTGTTCTCTGAGTGTCACCTCTGATTAGCAGGCTGTTGTTACCTTTTACAAATCTCCAGTTCTCAGTTTCCCCATCTGTAAGAGGAGAGCAGAGGTGAGCAACTTGGGTTGCTCTGAAGTTGTATGCCACTGGAGCAGAAGCCCAACTTTCCCCTGGCTTGGGGCTCTACATTCCAAAGGCAGCAGACCATCTAAAATTGGCTGAACCAGAAACGGCAAGACTGGCAGGCAGGTGTGTGACGTGAGTGAATCTGAGTGTGGATGTGTTCTCTTTGGAGGCCTGGAGACGCCATTTGGTCTGTTTCTGGGGCTTCAAAATACTACTGTGCTGTAAGCATTTATTTGAGTCCATCTAGGTTCTGGGGGGATTTTTGGAATCTGGAATCTGGAATCTGGATGCTGTTTGGGTCTCTTCTATAGGCAGTTCTGGTGCCTAGGATCCCATCAGTTTAGCATGGGGTTGGTTGCCAAAGAGATATAAGGCTTGGGAGTTGGGGACCAGGACTAGCAGGTGAAGGAGTTTTCATCCCCATCCTGGGGAAGAGCCCAGAGGAAAGCCAGCTCCAGACACGTGCCACAACCTGTAAGGCAACTCTCTTCTGTGGGTTTAGTTTTTTCTTGCACTGAAAATGTAAGTGAGTCATACTCGCCTGGCTGTTGGGACTTACTGGGCAGCTGGGGGTTAGGGTGAGATGTCAGGAGCTGCTCCAGCTTCAGTCCTAGCCTTAGCAACCCCAAGGCCTGGAGATTCTGGATTAATTCTCTTGACTTCTGGGATTCCTGTGGCTCCCCCAGGAATGCAATCTAGCAGGAGGCTTGTGTTGGGGGAAGCAAGGGCATCAGCTCCTTCCTCAGAGTATGGGAATGGCCATCAACAGACTCCAGACCAGGCTCCAGCAGAGAGAAATCAAGACTCTGCATCCCTGTCCCTAGGCAAAGCAGCCTAATCCTGGCCCACAGGAAAGGACAGTTGGCACCACCAGGCATCATGCCACCCCCCTCCCTTTCCAATTTCTTAAACAGGATAGGTGGTGTCCTAAACTTCCAAACATTAATTCAGCAAACATTTATTGAGCATCTACTCTGTACTCTGTACATCGCACTGGCGATGAAGCATTAAGGCAGCGTGCATGTTTGCATATTGGAGTGCATGGAGTCTGACATTGGAGGACTCCCTTATTTCTGGATGAGAAAATCTAGGCTCTAAGAGATTAGGTGTGCAACAGGTCGCTCTGAGGTACAGCTGGGACTCACACGCAGACCATACTAGGCTATTTCTACCTCCTTTTCCAGGGATCTTGGTCCTTTTGTTGAGATGGATTTCCTTTGCCCTGTTGGAGGGGCACTGAACCGACAGTAGTCTGTGTGTGAGGTTTGTTTAGATGGTTTGTCAGGGCAGAAGTGGGGTGAGGACTTGGGTAGTCCCAGACTTAATGAATTGAAGGGGGGAACCCCAAAACCCCCAAACGATTGCTTGTCAGTCAGCCTCTGATTCCCTCAGCTGGAGGGGGCTCAGAATCCGTGCAGGAGGCGGCCTTAGCATCACCACCAGGTCACCCTAGAATCAAGTGTGGAGACCAGTTGTACCCAAGGGCGAAGGGTGCCTCCCTTTGGGTCATGTTGGAGAGGGTATTTCGTTGGGGGACAGATTTGTCCTTATTCTGCCGAGGCAATGGAGTCATCATTTTCAGCCTTCTGCCCCTCTCCCTGACGGAGCCTGCTGTCCACTTTACCGTCCAGCTCTTGGGAAGCCAGGCCCGGCCAGGCTGTTCCCGGGTTCCTCCGCTGCCGCGCGCGGGGGAGGGAGGCGCAGAGCGTGTCTCGCCTCTCCGCGCGGTCAAGGTTGCACTCCCTTCCCGGGCAGAGACTAACCGTGGGAAAAGCGCTACCTTGGACGCTTAGAGCCTCTCCCTTGAAGGCCTGTACAAGAAGTCTTTGAACACGCTGCCCCTTTTTGCCCGCAACAGTTCCTCCCTGGGCCCCCGCCCCCGCGCTCTCCGTCCCTGGCCCAGCGAGAGGCCCCAGGACAGCGTGATCTAATCAGTCCGATAAGTTTCTAATTAAAAGAGCCCTCTGTCCCCTCCGCAGGCGCCTTCAACACGGGGGTCGTGAGGGAGGGGTTGGAGGCTGGCCCCTACCCCGCCTCCCCATACCCGGTCTGCGTGACCTGTCCGGGAGGGGCCCTTGGGAGCCTTGCGGGGCGCGGAGGCGACGGGGCCGGTTGGGGAGCTGCAGCCCGCAACCCTACAGTTGCAGAGCCCGCCTCCAAGGACAGCACGTGCTCCAGGCCACTGCCTAACCATCTGCTCAGCAATGGAGAAGGGTTCGTCTAGAGACAATTTCTTTGTGGTTTCTGTTTCTTCTTCTATTTAAAAAAATGCATCTTTTCAAAATTCGGCCTTCTCTCTGCAAAACTGGGTACTGAGAGCCACATTTCGTTTGTAAGCTGACAGGTAGGCCTCAAAGAGGGCCGTGCCTTCTCTCCCAGAAGGAAACCCAGCTCACTCAGGCCTGACAGCTACCGGGGCGGGGGTCATCTTTGCCTACTTAGCAGGCGAGAGATGTAGGACTTTGGGGTCATGCAAGTTACAAAAGTTGGTGGTTTCTTAATTGTCAACCTGTGGCGCCAAGCAGTGCTTGAGATTTTGCCTGCCCGGTATGATCTGCTTTGGACCTGCCTTGACCCTGTCTCCTACTCAGACACACCACACTGCCCCAAGTGGGCAGGAGAAGCTCCGGTTTTGTTTTTGTTTGAGGGGTATGTTTCAATGATGGGGTAACAGCCTCCTAGTTCTGTCTACCCTAAGTCTTCACAAACACTTGTTGCAGACCCTCTGTCATGCCTGGGGCAAGAGTGTGGATGTTTGACCCATCCCACTCCCAAAAATTGAGTGGAGTTTCAAGATCCAGCGCAATGGCTGGGAGGGGTTTGGGAGAATGTGCGGGGATGGATCCACACGGTGGCCCTCCTGTAAGCGTAAGTGAGCAACCGGGTGGATCTCATTTGCCCCTGGGCCTGGACCTCAGGCCAGAAACTCTGGGGCCTGCGCATAAAAGGAGAGAATCCCACCATTCCGTTCAGGGCCCCGGGACTGACCTTTATCGTAGTTGGAGGATGCTTTTTCCCCAGCGGTGGCAACAGTTTTCCAGAAGCTGTTTCAAGCAATTTAATAATAACCACAAAAGGAGACCACATTTTTCTTTCTTTCTTTTTTTAATAAAGACTTTGTTTGTTTATTTATTTATTTGACAGAGAGGGGGAGAGAAAAAACACAAGCAGGGGGGAGGGGCAGAGAGAGAGGGAGAAGCGGACTTCCCGCTGAGCAAGGAGCCCAACCTCGGGCTCAATACCAGGACCCTGGGATCATCACCTGAGTCGAATGCAGCCATTTAAGGACTGAGCCACCCAGTGGCCCGGCGAGACCACGTTTTTCAATCAAGACACCACATTCTGTTACTCAGCCTTTGGAGAGCCGGAGAAGAACAGTCGATGTTGCCCTTGGTTGCACTGTAGGGAAACTGGGGGACCCGTGCGCTGCCCTGGAGGGAAAGGGAGCTACAGTGTCAGGTACACTCTAAAACAAGCAGCTTCCTCTCCTGGGGCGCGAGGAACCCCCACGATGGTGGTCAGAGTAAGGACGAACGGGATGCGAATTGCATCCGAGAGGGGTAGAAGGAGGGCACAGGGCCGACGCCCGCGGGCCCAACTGAAAGGGCCCCTTTCTTTTAATCCTCACCAGCTTTCCTGAGGGCCTTAGATGTCGTGGTGTTAGGGTCGCGCAGCCTCAAATAACATTACTCAGTAATGACTCTTTCCATCTAAGGCCCATGCCGTTTAACGGGCTCCGAGTAATTAATGAAAGTTGGTGCGCGGTCCCCTGATTTACGGCTCCGAGTCAGCGCGGGGTCAGCTGAACAGATTCATTTCGCTCGCCCGCGCTGCCCCCGAGCAAGAGCCACGGTGTTTGTTTTTAGAGGTGAAGAACTTTCTCTGGCGAGCGGTTGGCGGTTTTCATACCTCACTTTCCTGAGGTTCGGTTCAGGAGCTGCAGACACCGTGGGAGACGAGGGGCGTACATGAATTTGGAAACGGCAGGGAGGTCAGGGTTTTACTTGGGAAAGGACGGCTCGCCGGCCCCCGAGGTCACACCTTTGCGGTTGGGCCCGGCTTCCCGCCGAGAAAGTTCTGGAGGCCGGTGGGGTGGCATCTTCCTCCACTGGGGTTTCTGGTTCGGGGCCGGGGACTCCTCGACCCCAGTTCAGGTCTCGTAGACCCACCGACCCCCCACCCCCACCCCCACTCCTCTGACGCTGTGCTTCTCTCCGCCGCGCTCTCAGGTTACAGCACGGTCACCTTCGACGGGACGCCCAGCTACGGTCACACGCCCTCGCACCACGCGGCGCAGTTCCCCAACCACTCTTTCAAGCACGAGGACCCCATGGGCCAGCAGGGCTCTCTGGGTAAGCAGGCGGGAAGGATGTGGGGTCCTTCTCCCCTTCTTTCATGCCAATCCCCGGAATCCCACGGCGAATTTTGAGAGAAGGGATTTTTAGAAATAATCAGCCCAGTCTCACCCAATTGAGAAGAAAAGGTTGAGTTTTGCCCCCACCCGCAGCATGTTGGTGACCGCTCTACTCAAGTCTACGAATGTCTTTTCCGTGTACTAGGAAGTAAGCCCTAAGGGAATGTGAAGTGAGAAGCAGATTAGCTCCTTACGATCTGGACGCCCTCTCTCGGCACGCCCCGGCGTCCAGGCTCGTGGCCCCCAGCTTCGTCTCCGAGCCTGGCTGGGGATGCTGTCTGTCCCGGACCCTGCCCGCGTCCTCACCCCCCGCGCGCCACCCCGACCGACTCCCACCCGGATCCCTTGCGGCGCGCTCACTCGGCTCTCCTCGGCTCTCCGCAGGCGAGCAGCAGTACTCCGTGCCGCCCCCAGTCTATGGCTGCCACACCCCGACCGACAGCTGCACTGGCAGCCAGGCCCTGCTGCTGAGGACGCCGTACAGCAGGTAGGAAAGCGCTCCGCACAGTGTCTGGGTCCCCGGGACCCGGGAGAGGGCGCGCGAACCGGCGGGAACGTCCGACGCGGGCAGCCCCGACCGCGGGCGTGCGGGGTCCTGGAGGCAAAGGACGCGTTTAGCTACTTAAAGCAAATTTAAGCAGATCTCCTGATTTGAACGAAGTAGGTTTCCTCGTCTCATGGCGTTCTTGTTTTGAATATAAACGAGGGCGGTTACTGTTTGAACTAGAGAACAGTGGAGCTTGGAGAAGTTATTTTTTTAAGCGCTCCTTAAGGAGCCCTTAGCTTCCTCGGGACCAAAGATTAGACATGGAGTCCACTCCCACTCCGTTCTTCTCACTTCTCAGACCGCTCCTCGCCCACTGGCCACACCGGCGGCCTTCGCCGGGAGTAATTCGAGGGCGCGTACGCTGGGACCACAGCCTGCTCCCCACCCCTGTGCTCCGGGGTCTGCGGCCGCCGCGGCACCCGGTGGGCGTGGTTCCCAGCGCCAGGCCCCGCGCCGGCAGCGGACCCGGACTGCGGGCAGGACCTCAGTCGGGTCGCCGCGGTGGCCTTCGGGGACGCTGCTCCAGCCCGCGTCTGTCCTCCTTCCCATTCCAGGGAGGCAGAAGACCAGCCTCTTTTCCTTCCAAGCTTTTTTTTCCCCCTGTCCCTTGTGCGTTCTCCCGGCCCTCGTTCCACCCTCCACCTTCTCTCCCCCAAATTTATTCTTCAACTTTGGGTGAACTTGGCCGGCATCCCGCTTCTCCGATAGGGTTGCCTAGTAACTGGTGCACACACCGGCGCGCGGGGCTGGAAGGTGGGGCGGGCGGAGGGAAGTGGCGGCTCTTGGCCTTTGAGGCGGGGACTGGGCGAGCATTACCTCATATTCCACCCCTGCCCCCCACCCCGGTGCTGCGGGGATCCTGATACCGACTGCCCCCAAACTCATCTCCATCCTCCCCCTCCGCTCGAGGACCCGGGGCTGACGTCAAGGGAAGGAGGTAGTGAGGTAATGAAGGAAGGAAAAGCTCCTGCCCTGGGAGATTGGGTGGGGGGGATGGCCGTGCCTGGAGGACCTCCAGTCCCACAGGTGGAGGAGGGGAAGGAGGCTTCGCTCCCTAGCTGGCTGCGGCGCATCCTAAAGTCTCGGTGTGCTTATGAAATTGAGCCTGGTACTGGTCTGGTTCTCCTATCTGGGGGAAGTACAGGGTCGAGCCCCTTCGAGTTCTGTATGCCTGAGGCAACACGGACTTCAGAAGTCTTCCCTTTTGATGGGGGAAATCCGGCATATCTATTTGGATCTTGGATTCAAGATCACTCTCCTTCCCTTCCCCTTCCCCTTCCTTTCGCCTTTTCTTTTTTTCTTTGAGCGAGAAGGAGCAAAGAAATGCTTGAAGGTTGCTGAGAGACCGCGGAAGAATGACCTTACCTCCTCATCCTCCTTTTCTTTCTCACTAGCTAGAATCCAGTTCTGTTCTTTGGCACCTCAGTGCTTCCCCTTGGTGGGTCCCAGCACTGGAAAGCACGCAGAACCCACAGCCATTCTCTGTTGCGAACACTCCTACTCCCTCCTATCAAAACTGTGGTGGCAGGGCCATTCCCATCCTTCTTGAGGAACTGTTCCTACATTACCAGAGTGGCATTGTTGTAACTGGAACAGCCATTGGGGGTATAGTTGGAATGGTTCCCCATGGGATGGCCTTGGCCCATTCCTGCCTTTTCAGTTCCTGACTGGAGACTTACCCCCAGGTAGAGAGGAAGCCTTTGACGCTGGAGTGGGTGGTAGTATATCCCTTTGGGGTTTGGAGTCTGGGAGGCATTGGTTCAAAGGGACACAGACACACACACATTTCTTACTCTCCTCTCTCCCAAGCCTAGAGCCACACTAGGAAGGGGCCATCAGAGGGTCTAGCCTAGAAAGAGGAGGTGGGGATAAAGTGATCACAGCCACTGGTTTAACAACAATTCTGAAACTGAGTCCCTGTGGTGGATTTTGACAAGAGCTGAAATTGTGGTTGCCTTGGAAGTGGGAAAAGTCACTTGGATTGCATTTTATAGGTAATATTCTCACATTTGTAATCCAGCTTCTGAATGTCCACTCTATAAAGCAATTTTGTCAGGTTCATCTTTTGGAAATATTTGCTTAACCCTTTCTTCTTTCTACATAATTGGAATTTTTTTGCTTCTTGGTTTTTTTTTTTGGTATTTATATCACAAAAATAGCATTTTATTCTGTTAGAGGAAATTTCGAAGCGATAACTCCTAAGCAAGAAATTATGACTCCTGTAGGAAAAGAGTTTGCTCCCTCGAAGTCTGTACTGTCTTTGAAGTTCCAGTCACCCTAAATTCATAACATTTCTAATCACTTTTCAAAAATCAGGTACTTCCCCTGCAATAATGATGAATGAGCAGGTGTAAGAATGTTTTAAAATTGGTTCTATGCATTGACATTACCACAGTTATGTCATTTCCTTTCTTTTTCACTCTTAAAAAAGTCTGAAAGGGTATTGAAATGCTTTTGTGAATGCAGTGTTTGAAAAAGCATAGGAAACACTAGTAAATTTTAATCACCGAATGGCATAACATTTGGGTTTTAGAGTTCACTGGTGCTTCTTTGGTCCCTGGCTCCATTCCCTTCTGTCTAAAATTGGGACCTCCTGGGAAAGGCTTGCCTGTATTTCGTTTGCCTTGTTGCACTTGACCCCCTGGGGCAGCCTGCCCAGACTCTTCCCCACTGCCCTTCCAAAGCTTCTGTCTCTCCAATCTTGAATTTAATCTTCCATCCCAGCATGAAATAAAGACATATATATATATATATATGAGGCAACACGGTATATATATATGGAATAAGCAGTGTGCAATGTGAATTTGTTTTGAGGAAATTCTCAAAATTCTCTTCTTGTTAGGAGGGAACTGTCCAGTGATTCTCTCTTCTCTCTCAGGTAACAGATCTGAGGAGTTTTGGCTGTGCCCCTTTGTGTGTAGATGGGCATAATAGTGAATAGAAAAATGTCCCCAGTCAGCTTATGGGAGGTGATAGAGGATGGTTTTCCCCATCCTCTCTGCCACTTTGCATTTTGAAGGTGGGTAGAGGTCCGTGGAAAGGTCACTAAGGCTTCTGAAACCAGATTTCAGCCCCTAGGGGACCAGTGATCATAGCTGGGGGAAAAGTGAGTAAACTGTGAGGGTTTGTTGCATGCTGACTATGTGCTGCTGGCCGCTGAGCTAAGTGCTTCACTCAGTTCCTTCATTGAGTTCTAAGTTCTTTGTAGATGCTTGAATCTCCACTCTCCTGAAGAGGAAGTAGGTTCAGAGACTCAAAATAACTGGCTTAAGTCACACAGCAAGTCAGAATCAAGACCAGGACTTGATCCACAGTCTCTCTGACTTCAAAACCCATCTGTGCTCTGAATCAAGCAGGGATTCCAGGCCACTCACTCCACTGGAGTTCCCCGTGTACAGTCTGTAGCCCCACTGTTGCTGGTAAATATGCAGAGCAAAGGCTCATAGAGACTTCCTTCATCCGGGCACCTTTCTAGGCACTTTCCAAGTATTGACTTCTTTAATCCACATGACTCTCCTGAGGGGAGAGAGTAATGAATCCACTCTCACTAAGCACAGATTTGTCCTGATTTCTACCTAGAACGGGGAGCTAGCGGGGCCTTCCCTGCTTAACTTCCTGTGACTCTTCTTCCACAAACCCCTCTGCCTTCACCGCTTGCTGACCTCCTTGGAGCCCCCCATCCCTGACTCTGCCCAGTTCATGGGCTGATACTCACAGCTACTTTGAAAAGGAGTTCTGGGGGCGCCTGGGTGGCTCAGTGGGTTGAGCCTCTGCCTTCAGCTCAGGTCATGATCTCGGGGTCCTGGGATTGAGCCCCACATCGGGCTCTCTGCTCAGCGGCGAGCCTACTTCCTCCTCTCTCTCTGCCTACTTGTGATCTCTCTCTCTCTCAAATAAAAAATAAAATCTAAAAAAAGAAAAGATAAGAAAAGGAGTTCTGTGTCCTGTGTTTGAAAAATAGTCCCCACACGTTATTTGTTTGTTTGTTTGTTTGTTTATAGCTATTTTAGTCCTTTCCTTTCCTTCTTAGACTCTTTTATTAGGTTTGCGCATCCTTCTTTAGCAACTGTGCTACCAATTTAAATGAGCCTATTTCCTTTCACCATTTAGTGGGTGAAACCACCCCACCTTGGGAAGCAGTAACTGCTGATTGAAATATTGCTAATTGAATGCTGATGATTCACAAACGATGCGGTTGACAGTGGAGGCTTTTCACAGCGGATGGTTTTTCTTGTGAGACTTCCGTAGCAGCCATAGAGTTTCTGGGGAATTCAGGTCACCGGGAAATCCATTATCTACCATTGAGGTTGGCCTTCAACATAGACATGAATCAGAGCGACGGCTCATGTCCAAGAAAATAAAGTGACAATCTCGAAAGCCTCTTTTCACTTTTGTATCTAGGAACACTTTACATGGTATAAAGTTTCACTTAAGACAATACTGGTATTTGTTTCCTGCATCAGTAGGCACGAAGGCAGAAAGTCTGAAATGGTTTCCAGGGGTGGGCAGTGTTATCACAACCAAAGGCTCGAAATGGACTTGTCTCCAGGGAGGGGGAAAAATCTAGTTTCAAATATTCCTGCAACTTTTGTGCTGACCAAGTGTTTATTAATAGAAGTTGAATCCCCAGTGGGTTTTTCTTTGGTTAACTGGTGAGCTTGAGAGAAATAACAATACCAAGAGATTGACTGTAAAATAATTATTCATCATGGCCTGCTGGGCAGAAATTTCTCAACAGGCAGCCTCCATGGCGCCTTGGAGGGAAGAACGCAGGAGAAGGGCTGCGTGGAGGTCTGGCTGCAGCCTCTGTGTCTGCGTCCTGGTTATCAGGTAGGGGCCCCTCTGTTGGTGTGGGGCAGAGCTATTGCAGCAAAGGCTGGCCATCGTGAATTCTGATCACAGATGCCAACTCTAGCTGCATTTTTCTTGGTTGGCATTTTCTTTTTTAATTCTTGCTTTCTTCTTCTTCTTCTTCTTTTTTCCTTGTGGGGTTCTTTACTTCCACCAAAGTGCTCCTTTGTCAGTCAGCCAACATCTGGCAGAGATGACCCCAACCTCAGCCAGGTTCAACAGCTCTGTGCCAATGGTGACATGAACGTTTCTACCTTGCTCTGCTGAATGTAGTAAACACACTCAAAGATGAACATGTACTTGAATTACACATGCATTTGAAGAGTGGGGGAGTCCCAGCTCAGATAATAGCTAAGGGCTTTTTTCCCCTTCCTTTCTTTTTGTGTGGAGGTCGAGAACTCAATAATACTGCAGTCCAGGCCAAAACAAACTCTATATGATCTACTACCGATTTCCTTTTAAGTTCCTCTTTTTGCTAGGACTGACTTCCTTTTATTTTACTCCAACTTGCATTAATCCCAGTTATAGAAGTTTCTTTCCTCTCTCCGTTGCTTCCAACTTCAAACATTTCTTACATAGGAAACAAGGGCCCTTAAAAAAATCTACTTAAAAATATAAAGGATACCATGACTTTTGGAATATATTTTGGCAGCCTGCGATTTCAGAGTTCACTTCCAAACAGACAGAGTTAGACGAGGAGCTGAAATGCCTACGTGACCACTGTGGTTTGCTTTGAGCCAAACCACCTGCTTATCTGATCTCCTCTGGGAATGAAGTGGTCGACACCTACAGTGGTTATTTAAAAATTAGATGCTTTATTTGTCAGAGGCCATATATTCCCTGACCAGCTCTTTCTCTTCCTGTGGGTTTTCATGATGAAAGCTAGGTGTGGACCGATGGCCCAAAGACATCAGAGCTGGAGCATGCTCGGGCCTGGTATTTTTAGCTCGGGTTCACATTCTTTCTCCTCCCTGACAGCAGTTACTGCCATGTTGTCATTGACTTCCATGAAGAGGTTGTGCCAGCCTAGCTAAGTGACCGAGCCTCTGAGGAACCCCAGCCAGCAGAAGGCAGGATGTGGTTAAAATGGTGCTCCGATCCTATCACTGGACTCAGGAAACCTATTCGGAGCTTGGGGATTTTCCACAAGTCCGTCTTCCCTATCGCCCTTCCCATCTTCTCTCCCCTCAAGAGGATTTGCAAACTGAGCTATCGGGACCACTAAAACAAGAAGTGTTTCCTGTGATCTTGGCATACGATTCTTAGTTGGCTGAAAAGGATGTGTTGGGCATCTTGCCTCTTAGAACTTTCTGGAGACAGAAAGTCACCGTGCTTCCTGGAGCATGCTCTCTTTCCCCTCCAGACCTGTCTGTACTATTGTTATTTATGATTACTGTTATTTAAGTGGTAGAGGATGAGTTTGCAGGCCAAGTGATGCCAGGATGTCTTCAGAGGGGTATGGCAGGTGGGCTGGGGGGCATCAGGCAAGCCAACGCCAGGCACTTCTGTGAGCCCCAGTCATCCTCTGATAAATGGGGATCATAACTACACCTGCCTCGCCAAGTTGTGGGGCATATTGAGGATGTGTGAAAAGCACTGTGAAAAATTAGATACTTTAGAAAATTTTAAATATATTATCTGGATAGCCTTCAAAGAGCTACTTTTAAGGCTTTACCAAATCCCTGTAAAGTTAGACTGATGGAGATTAAGACTTCCATTTGGCAGATGAGAAAACTGAGGTACAGAGAGCCAAACTGATTGGCTCAAGGTCCTAAAACTTATAGAGCAGTACTGACCAATAAAACCCATGCAAGCCAGACAGATAGATAGATAGATACAGATAGATATCGATATATAGAATTTGGAATTTGTTAGTAGCTGCATTAAAAAAAATAAGACCATGAAATTAATTTTTAAAATATTCTATTTTTAAAATAGTCAAAATTTTGGGGTGCCTAGGTGGCTCAGTCAGTTAAGCATCTGACTTTGGCTCAGGTCATGATCTCGGGTCCTGGGATCAAGCCCCATGTTCCTCTCTGTGCTCCATGGGAGTCTGCTTCTCTTCCCCTTTCCCTGCTTGTCCTCTCTCTTTCTCTCTCTCAAATAAATAAATAAAATCTTTTAAAAAAATAACCCAAATCTTATTTCAGTGTGTGGCACTAGTATATTTCAAGTACTCAAAAGCTTTGTCTAAGCAGTAGCTGTCCAACTGTGCAGTGTGTTTATTAAGCACACGCTAGGAAGATACACATACGTAAGACATAGACTGTGTATTTGGGAAAGTTTGCTTTTTGGGGGCTGAGAAAATGGTCTTAAAAATATTTTCTCTTCACGGTACTTCCTGATAAAGACCCTTACGAATCTATTGGACTATTCCTTAAGTGTGTGAGAAAATTCCTAAATCATAAAGTTAGATATTTGGTGCTCATTAACCCATATGCATAAACTTCTGTCCCTCATCTTGCTTCTCGGCCCTCTTGAAAATGATGGTCTTCGTCTTAGGCAAGGATGAAATAATTCCAGAAAGATCCCACATCCCAATAGGGCCTAGGAAAATTGTCAACCGGAGCTGAGTGATTTTAGTTGGTGAACAATTTTTTAAAAATCAGTGACAAAAATACTGAGCTGCTGGGGGAATACAATGCCTGTTGGCTGAGATTAATGGCGAGATTAATAAATGGATTGCTTGATGAAAAGGCGCAAGAGAACAAAAACCAGTAGAGATTGTGGAGGAGGATGCTTATTAATGAGCTGTCAGCCCACAGAAAGTTCAAGAAACTCTTCTGTGTTAAATGCAGCAGGGCTGGCACTTCTAATAAAAATTGGGGGTCCTTCAGGAATTAATTACATCGGCCTTACAGCAAGAATTTGTGGAATTGCGAAACGTAGTGGCACAGACCAGCACGGGCCGCTACCGCAAATGGAGAAGCGGCAGGAGAAACTAATCATTTTTTTTTTTCCATTGATCTTTAGGATATTGTAGTAGCATAATAGCCAGTCAGACTAAGGATGAGTGATGGGCTCCAGATACACACTGACTAATGAAAGGACCCGTACTTGGAGCTTGAAGCCACTTCACATCTCATATGTAAAATTCCCTCCTGGAATCTGATTTTCTCCTTATCCTGTGTGCCCACCACAAAGGAGTTCCAGATCATTTTCCGAGTAATTATGCAAACAGCAGAAGGGACTCTGCCATGATTTATCAGGCTATGCCCAGAGGGAGCACAGCATCCAAACATCCCGAGTTGCTGCGATTTCCCTGACCTCTCCACAAGCTCCCAGTTTGGCTGGCCTGATGAAACCTTCTCTTAATTAAAATTTGGTGTTGCCTCTGCCCAAGGAAGGCGTACCACGACAAGGTGGAGATGGTCTGGGTTTGGGGTCTGATATCGCACGTTAGACACGGAAAGCTTCTCTCTTTCTCTTCTGCCATGAAGGTAGAGGGAAGGTATTCCTCTGTAATATGTTTAGACCAAGGGTCCGCAGACAGCCCATTCATCTCTTGGGTCTCAAATTTCATAATTAACCATTTCAGTTCAGGACTGAATGTATTCCGCATAGAGCTTGGTAATTAAGGAGATTTCTGCCAGTTGATTTATGTGCTGCTTTTCTAGGAAGGAGATAAATGTAAGAGGAGAGGAGAGAACAACTTTTGGTTGGTTTACATGATAGTGTATTTTCTTCTTTGGGGTCTTAATGTAAATGATCAGCCGTTATTTTCCTTCTTAGAGCTTAGGGCTTGGGCTTTTTTTTTCCCCCCTCCTTTTGACTTGTTCCAGGATTATACAATTTCTAGAGACGAATTTCTTCAGTTGTGCATAGTCTTTACCATTCTTTCTCTTTTGCTTGTCACATCCTTGAGTATGAGACCATCCACCAGCCATCACTCTTTGACTTCTCGGACCCTCATAATCCACGTGATACGTATCCTTTCGATTAAAACAACTTAATGGCCTTTTCACGAATAATTAATCTGCCATCTTTTTACTTTCAGCTCCAGGCTTTTAACTTTAATGTTGAGTTATCCGGCCTGTGTTGCCTTTCAAGAGTTTCACTCCCTTTTAGCCTCTTCCCCTGAAAGGTTTAATACCTTTTTAGAAACTTCAGTGTTTGCTCTGCTAAGGTTTTTTAAAGGCTTCCAGATTACTCTCACGTCCTTCCTGCTCTGTGTGACCGCAAGGAATCAGTGGGCCGAAATGAAAATCATTTCAGACTCACAGTATTCTGTCATTTTGGAAAACATGGAGGCTTTCGCTGCAAAGAAAAAGTAAAATGCTATTAACTGTGTCTTTCTTTGTAGTTCTCTGTTTCTAACTCTGGATATTTTTTCTAACAGTGACAATTTATACCAGATGACCTCCCAGCTTGAATGCATGACGTGGAATCAGATGAACTTAGGAGCCACTTTAAAGGGGTAAGGTTTTCTCTGTTCCGTTTCCCTTCAATATACACCTGTTTGAACCATTTAAAAGGCGCTTTTAACTCACGAAAGAAATGCAGTCTTAGAAAAATAGTCATGGCTCTCTGTAGAATTAAGATGCTTTCCTCCCTCCCCCAGTTGGTGGGGTGTGTTCAGTATTAAATTTTCAGGAATATAAATAGGAGATTTCTTTCTTTTTTCTTTTTTTTAAGATTTTATTTATTTATTTGATAGACAGAGATTACAAAGTAGTCAGAGAGGCAGGCAGAGAGAGAGGAGGAAGCAGGCTCCCCGCTGAGCAGAGAGCCCAATGCGGGGCTCGATCCCAGGACCCTGGGATCATGACCTGAGCCGAAGGCAGAGGCTTTAACCCACTGAGCCACCCAGGCGCCCCAAAATAGGAGATTTCTGTATGTGTCCGAAACAAGAGAGTTGAGACTATTGAGAAGGTGTAATCTGGCCTTTACTTATGGAGTGTTTCAGAGTTCTTCAAAACTGTGTCCGTTCAACCTCATTTAATGTTTATTTTGCTAGTGATATCACAGATGTTAACTATTACATTAGCTTATCGAGAAATACTCTCAGTTTGTAATACCCGGGATCCCAATTCGTATTTGAGTGCTGATGCTGGGAGACTTCTGAGTCAGATGAGCTCACACCTGGTTGTGCCAACAGATTTTCTTTGTGCTCAGTAGATTGTCACAGTAGGGAAGACACAGTACAGGGAGGGGAGATTCTTTGCACCTGGAGATTTTAAAAGGCAAACAGGTGGAACTTGCTTTCAATAGTACAAGAACTCACTGTCGGCTGTTCAAATTGGAGTCAATGGGCATTAGCGTACAACTCCAGTGAGGTCCCCGTAATATAGCAGGTGCTTTTCTCAGTCCCCTCACTTACTCTTCTTAACACTGTAAGGCTTAGGTATGGTTACCCTGTTTTCCAAATAAGCAGATCAAATTTAGAAAGTTAAGTAACTTCCCAAGTTCCCGTCATAGTAAATGGTAGAGGTGGGATTCCAAGCCTGGATCTAATGCCAAAGCAGAGGCTCTTTCCAGCCTCCCTAATGCTACCCTCCACTCCACCAACAGCCCCGGTGGCACTGGAGACTAAGTCCAGCACTCTGGACGAGACAACTAACTTCACATCTCTGTGTATGAGGGGCTTCTCATTGGATTCTGGGATCCGGGGGCTTGCTAGAGCCATGCATGCTCCATTCCCCATTCCCCGCCTCTTCTTCTCTTCTAGAGTTGCTGCTGGGAGCTCCAGCTCAGTGAAATGGACAGAAGGGCAGAGCAAGTGAGTGGACGATACGATGATGGGAGAGTCAATGATGTAGGCCTTGTTGACTGGTGCCTGGGGTGATGCAGGAGTTAGCACTGACAGTGGGTGACCAGCATAGCAGTGGGTACAGTGGGATGGAAGGATCTCTCCGTCTCTCTCTTTCTCTCCCTCTCCTTCTCATCTGTCATAGACATACTGTGGGCAAAAATGGAGGTGGTGACATTTCTCATCAACATACTCCTAGGAAACAGCTTTGCAATGATGCACTAAGAGCCCTGCTCATTTCCTCTGGAATGTTTTGCAAAACATTCAATTTGTGGTATTATACATCTCCCTGTTAGATCATTCACATTTTTCAGGCATATATGACTTGCTTTTTCTCTATTTGCTTTTAAATCTCTCAGGGAGAACTTAATTTTTATCCCAAGTCTGTAGCCAGAATTCTTAAAAAAACTTTTTTTTTTTTTCCGTTCTTAAACATCTGTGCCTTCCCCGGGCCTATAGTCTGCAGCCTGGGACATTTCTGTACCATTTCTTTTGATTTTATTTCCCCTGCATGAACACCAGAATTGGCTGCCCTCTTCTCATTCCTCTTTCTTTCATTGGCTCAGTGCTGGCTTTTGGATCATCCTTCAGTGATCAGCAAAGTTATTTTTCAGTCTTCCAAGATTTACTGTTAGATCCTTCTCTACACCCCCATCCCCCATTTTTTCCTGCTATTTTATCCAAATCTCAACTTCCTTTCTCAAGACCCAAAAGTTAAAAAACAAAACAAAACAAAACCAAAAAAACCTGTTGATTTGAATTTTCCCTCTCCACACTTGTGTCCAAGGGGCTACTGATAATTTCAGCATTTTATCTTTCTACCTACTCTCAACTTGTCTGATGTTTCTTGGTTTCTTGCTCTTACCTTTCTTTCTTTTCCCCTTCCTTTTCTTCTCTCTGCTCTTCTCAGAATTCAGAAACTGTCCCCACGTTAAATGCCAAGAGTAGACAGAACTTGATTGTGAAGTGAACAGTATGTTTCAATTTTTAAAATTTCTTCATGCTGGAGTACAGGGTTGGTTTGTTTACTTAATTACAAAAATTACAGATATGGGATCCTGGCACGTGTTTGATTCTGGGTCTTTCCATAGTTGAAATAATTTTGATACCTTTTAAGGTCTTTAGACACATGATATTGGTCACTTTCTGGAGAATCAGAAGCTATATTGTAAAGATGAAGCACTAAAGTGCGAATAGTTTGTTTTGTTTGATCCTCTTCAAGGAGAAAAGAAAACTAGAAGAGTTTTTGTTGGCCTGGTGCTTACATTTTAGGAAAGGATTTCTGAACCAAAATGTATTTCTTGAATACTATTTTAATTCAGAAAGCTGAATGAAAACAATAAAATGTCTCCAGTAGGTGGTCCTACGGAACAACAACTCTTTGGAAAACAAAGTTGCTTTGTGTAACTTACTAACATCTCTCATGCTGCACATTTATCCCTTTAGAATGTATTGTAAGTCATCTGACGTCTGCTTCCATTTGCGATTCGACAATTTATCTCAGGGTGGATGCTAACATTACTGGGTTCTATGTAAGGGGCTTTACGGATGTTTTTTCCTTTGACCTCATGACAATCCTAGGATACTAGGGTGTGTCCATCTTTCAGATGAGGAGGGAGGAGAGACTAAGCCACCTAAACCAAGCTCACATAGCAATGTGAACTTTATTTTTAATTTATTTGTTTTTAAGGATTTAATTTATTCATTTGATAGGAGGAGAGAGAGAGAGAGAGCAAGTGCACAAGTAGGGGAAGCAGCAGAAGGAGAGGGAGAAGCAGGCTCTTCGCTGAGCTGGTGTGAACTATAAAATACTTGTTGTGATGTGTAGATTGATATTACAACGCACTGGTGTGTCATGACCTACAGTTTGCCTCCTCTCTTATGGCTATTAAAAATGGCTACTCCTTAGCTCTTTCCTCCAAGCCCCTGGGCTGTCGAGAACAGAATTCAGTTGAATCTTTTATTCCAGTAGAAAATTGGGCTTTTATCCAGGGGGAGACACAATCTGGGTCAGCATCATCCTTCTCTCTGATGTCGTATTCACTTCCTTTTGTCAGGGTATGAAAACGCTGTTAATGTGGAAAATACACGATTTGAGTAAAAATATTCCGTGAAGAAAGATAGATAACTATTTTATTTTACTTAAATCCACAACTAGTGTCTTGACACTGAAATCAATGATAAGAAAAATCATGGTGACATAGTAGATATAGAACAGAAATACTGGAGGTTTGCCTCATATTTTAGAGAAAAAAGATAATTTCCATATCACTCATAAAAATGAGACATTATCCCAATGTTTTTTTATTAAAAAGATCATGAACTTCAGACAAACCCCCATTAAATATTTGTTCATGTCTTTTTTTCCTTGAAAATTTTTACTTAAAAAAGAAGAGGGTTTTTTCCTTGTGTCCTAAGCAAGTCCTTGGAGACATCTTTCATTAGATGTCAGGGAGCGGTGTTATTACAATGGGTGGGGATGGGATTTTTAGGGCGAGCGTGGGCAAAATGAGATGAAAACATGATACAATGGGGGAGGAGGGGATACTCTTGCCCCTGATTTACTCTTCTCTTTTCCTCTCTTTATTCATTTTCTGATCTCTGTGTGCCCATTGGGATCATAATTACTTTTATGACCTCATATGGGAGAGTATTATATTTCAATTTAAGTCAGCAGGAGGTATTTTGTGAACCCACTTTCTTAACTCTGACCCTTTTCGTTACTCACAAATGAAACTAGATTTTTAAAGTGGGTCACTGGGAGAGAAAATTGCCAGGGGTTCCTTCTAAGCATTAGTCTACCTTTATGAATAATTCTGTTTATGGTGCTTTTGCATTTGTTGCCTGCTTTTTTATGTCTTTAAAAGCCTTTCCTGTGTGTTCTTAACGGCCGCTGATTTCCTAAGGCTGCTCACAAGCCGCAGCTCCTCCGTTAGTCTCTGTTTTGCCTCTTCTGAAGAAAATATCCTGCAAAATGGAGTAACACATCAACCTTGACTGTGGTCCAAGTTATTAAAACAAGGAAGAAGTTATTCTCTGGGGAGCTGGGCAGGGGGAGTGGGAAATCGAATACAATAGAAAAGTTAAAGGAGTGCTGAGCACAATGAATGTCCCTTTGCTGGTCCAAGAAGTTCACAGACGGTTGGGAACACACAGTATTTGACCTGTGGATGGTTGAAAGGAAAAACGAAAGATTCACGATGAGTGATGTATGGTGAAAAAGAAGCGGTGCGGTTTGGTAGGGCCAAGGCTCTCGAATCTGGAGAAAATCCCCGCTAGACATGGTCTCATCCCCGAGAACCTGTGCCAAAAGAGATAACTGTCTTCTCTGGCTGGGAGTTCCAATACACAGCCCAGCACCTTCCAGCTCATAAACATAAGGTATTCGTCCAAGAGATTTACTTCTTGAAAATAGATAGCCTGCTTTTAAGTGGCTCCTGGAGCTTGGGATGCCGAGCAAAGGTGGAGAGAAATAGTTCTCTGAGTATCAGCATTCCTGAGTGAGACCCTTAAGCCCTGCCCCCAACAAAACTGTGTTAATTTATCCTTTTAAATGGCTACATTTATGCCAGGAAAGTGGTTCTTTGTCTTCCCTGGGACTCCACTTGGATCTGTTAGCTGAACTGCCAAGACAAACCTGGGACTCCTGGGTTGGCAGGGTTGGGGTG